CTCAGCACTGTTCCTACAGCTCCTGCTGGGCTGTGCCCATGGAACCCACAGAGCTGCTCTGCAGTGCTGGAACCCGGCTGTCAGCCAGGGCACTCCACAGGTGGCCAAGATCCTCTGAATTCATCCCAGCTTTCTCCAATCTGCTGGACCATGAACACAAAGCTCAGCTTTACGTGTGTACTAACATTTAGTACAAGTACCAATTTGTCCTTTATGCTCTGCAACATTTGTAGAAATTTAACAGACAGTTAGTGCCAAAACACCTTGGTTTTTATTTTCCTATCCTTTTTGAATCAGGTTAAGCTGTAAACAATTTCTTTTTCAATCAAATACTGCCAGCTAGAATTCCATTCATGCATCACTGAAAACAAAAAGGGTATTTTTCTTTAAGTATAGATTTTTCATTTTAAACCATGTCACTTTATACAGAAACCMATAGCTAGATTCAATGCACCCTGATTAGTTATGTAAACAGATAACCCAAAAAAAAACCCTCATCAACAGAACTAATAAGTTGGTTCCTTCATAGAATGGAAATTAAAATCTCTCCCGACTTGAGGTTAACATGGTCAGGAGTACAGAATGTGGCACATAAATCCATCTAGGAGGTGTATAAATTGCACTGTATCTGAATTAACGAAGTTATGCATAATGAAATGCACAGTTTAAATTCATGCTAGAAAGCATTTCTCAATACGAAGTGGCAGCCGACTGGCAACCATAACAGTTAGGTTCTGCACCATCATTTATGGCATTATAGATAACTATTACATATAGCATACTTAAAAACCCTGAAGGATTGTGTTACTTGAAACATTCTCCAGGCAGTTGTTTGGTTTGAAACGTTGGGAGAAAGACTAAAGAGCTCACCATCTTATACCAACTATGGTACCTTTAACTTCCATGAAGTAGATCAGATATGATGTGTATTTCACAGTAACAAAGTTGCTTAATGCCTTTTCTCCAACAGTAGGATTGTGGTAAATGTTTCTGCCCTCAGATCACCACTGTCCTGGTGGCTTTCCCTTTTCTCAAGTTTGGRTAACTACATTGAGCACTTTTCCTGGTTTTTAGCTATTCATCAGTCCTTTCAGTATATCGTCGGAGAGTTCCAGCAGCGGGAGTTCAGGGGACGGGATGTCCAGAGGGGGAAGGTTGGGTATTGGAATGTCCTTTGCCTTCCCAGCATTTGTGGCAAACTTCTGCCAAGTTGCAGCTGAAGAAGCAGCTTCYGAGTGCTGCTGCAGACCCCACAACTCTGACTTCTCGACAAAGTCAGCATCTACATCCAGCTCCTTGTCTACTGGAGATTTTTGGAGTCTAGCTCTTTCTGCTTTTAACTGCTTATTTTCTCTCCTTAATCTCTCATTTTCAGCTACAAGAGATTCTATGAGCCGTTTCAAATCTGCAATTTTGGTTGCCTGCTCTTCTATTATTGTTTTGTCATCTTTTGGAGCTTTACTCCCAATACATGCTTCCATTGGCTCCTTTTTTTTCTGAAGCAGAAATAAAAGCGTATCTGGGTCCCTGTCAAAGACACCCCGAAYATCCTGTGCATGTTTCTCTGTGGAAGAGCTGTATTTCTGAGCAACAGGAACCAGTATGTTTTGATCATCAGAGTCTTCAGCAGATGGCTTGTAAGAAGTCTGAAGATGTGTGGCTGCTTCCTTGTCAGCACTCTGCTGGGCTTTCAGCTTTTCCTCCCTCTTTGCCCTTTTCCACCTCTCCTGGATGAGCAGTAACTGTTTCATGTGACTATCCCTTTGTAATTCCAGCGATAGCTGAGCCTGAGTAAGAACAACATTAAACAATTTAGTGGGTGATCCCTAATCCCACCCAAATACTCACACACATTAAGTTACATGTCTGTAAATATTTACATAACAGCATCACTGCATGCCCGAGAGGGGGAGCTTTTGTTATTCAGATACTAAATCCAACAGCAAGTGCTCTCTGCTTGTACAGTGCAACAGATTCAGATATGTCACCCAAATTTAGCACAACTTCTGGCTGTTTTGTTTGTAAGTCACTGACCAGGCTGCAACACCTCTGGGCAGAGACGCCCTGCGTTTAAGTGACCTACGACCAACACCAAGAAAGAAGAGATTCACCTGACATGCACAGCCACACTTTGGCTAAACAATGAAAACTTTTTGTATGCTTCTATGATAGCATCTCTGTAGACATATCAATAACACCCAAAATAAAGCAGCAAACTGTTCCAAGGCCAGGTATGGTCCCAAATGATTCAGCCCTATTAAATGAAGGGGGTGGCATGGTGGTTATTAATTCACAGGAACCACCCGGGTGGAAGACCATTTTTCTACAGAATGACCCACTGGAGCAAAGACAGATGTCTGATCTACAAGGGTAATTCGATTTCATAATATCGGCTATATTCAAATCCTGCTGCTACAAAAGTGCTCAGCAGACTACACTACTACATTCAAAGATATGCAATGAATAAGAATTAATAAGAAAAAGTGTCGGGGCTGTTGTTCTGGAGATCCCYCAGTGAGGATGCATTAAACCAAAATGACAGACTCCAGATGAGATGCTTAGCTTTTTGTCTCAGCAAAATACTAAGTGCCTCACAGATAAACATGACACTGGTTTTATCACCTATTTACAATTGTCTGGCAGACTAGAATGTTGGAGACCCCTTGGATGGGTTAAGATTTCTCTTGTCCCTGCTTCACATAAACTTGAAAAAACTCTCTAGGAAGACTAATATTACCACACTTGTGAAAATCCTGGTGTAGTTGCCAAGGGTTCAGAAAATTTTGCAGAGGCTAACACACAGGAGGGGTGTGATGAGACACAATGGGACACATTGGCACACCACAGGGGTGTGGCTGGTTGTGGCATCTGCCGTGCTTTGGTCTCACCTGCTCCGACTGGGTCAGCTTCATCGCGTCCGTAAGGTACCCTGCGAGACAGAACATCCATCAGCACTTATGGCAYGGCTGCAAAACTCTTCCAGAAAAGCTAAGAAAAGCCTTCACAGTGTGCTCAATCCCCACATTAAGGCAGCAGTTTAGAGGCAAAGTATTTACCAAGTTACTGTGGCTGGAAACACCTGCTGTTTTCAGAACTCAGAAAAAATTACAGTAAGATCCTGTAATGCACACTACACCCTTCCCATGGTATCCTGTTGGCTTGGATTGCTCCAGTTTGTTTTTAGAAGAACAGCAGCAGTTTCCAGAAAGTCCCAAAAGAAAAGCTTTCCCATGAAGGGAAGAAATACAGCTAAGGACCAGACTTTTAATATACAAGCACTTGATGACAAAATGTGGCACATAAAATGCTCTTGCCCATGGTACCACCCATATTATGAAGTTAAATTTTAAATTATATTCATGATGAAAAGTTATGGTCTTTAGTTCCTTTCTTTTTCACTAACTTCCCCTCCAAACCAGAAAACGTGCTCGCTTAAGAGTCAGAGCAGCACTTTAGACTTTGAGCAGATGTTACTAGTGCTAAAAATGACAAGGTATGAGAGATTCTCGACCAAATTTGGAATGATGCAAKATAATGGCATAGAATCATCAGACAAAGAAAAGCAAAAAACATTCAGTGTATTTTTGGGTTTTGTCTTAGTATATGAAGTGAAAGAACACAAAAAGAAAAGTCTGCCTTTTAGAATAGAAGTGCAATCCCTCATCACTGTGAGTATTCATAAATAGCAAAGAAACTATTAGTTTCTCACTTTATGGGGTTTTCTAGTATTTATGACTGCAAGCGAGAATGCCTGGTATCTGGGTTACCATGTTCAGAATAGCCACTTACTTTGTCTCCACACAAGCCCTGTCACTGAAAATGTCCTACTTGTTGTATCAATTAA